ACTGTGGTTCTGCTTTTGGGTTTGTGTTTTCCTTTGCCAGGTCCAGCACCCAGTTGCGAGACTACCCGATAGGGTTGAAATAAAAATGACGGCTAAGTCTAGAAATCAGCCTCCACTGAGAACAACGGTGCCACAGGACCACGGCAGAAGCCCTGGCCTGACACTGTGAGGCCTCCCGTGGGGTGCGGACCAGATGCCAGGGCCTAGGCTCACAGGACGAGGGCATGGGCTCTGTTGCGACAAAGCAGAATGAAGGTGCAACCAGCAGGGCAGGAGGGACAGTTAGAAAAACGTGATTTCCTGGAAGCTGACAGAAAGGGATGCCCTGTTGCTAGACAAGGGGTGGGAGCTCCTGGTGTGGCGAGCAGAGGATCCTGGCTGGGCTGCTCACAGTCCCATTCCTGCCGGCACCTCCTCAAGCCTGCCTTTTCCGAGGCCCTCCTTCATGCTCAGTTCATGGGCCCTCCCTCCCCCACCCCAAGCCCTGCTCACCAGCCACCTGGTGAGCCCCATTCAGCCTTGGACTCCCGGCTGGGCAGGCCCCTCCTCCCTGGGCTTCCGTGACACCCGCCCCCAAGTGCAGTCCTTGCCGCTCTAAGTATGTCCCGGTGCACAAGGCTGTGCTGCCTAGGCTGTTAGCACTGCTTTCTCTGCGCCTCTGTGCCCCACGTGGCTGGATCTCCCCGAGTCAAGGACAGCTGTGTATCCTGCTTCATCTGTGCAAATGGACGTCAGCATTGGGCTGCCTTCCACAAGTGAGCTCAGACCCCACTAGAGTCTCCTCCGTCACTGAAGGAAGCAGTGGAGGCCAGGGCTGCAGTGGGGAACAGGAGCAGAGACAGTACCAGGCCACCCACGTGACCATGGCCTCCTCTGTGCCAGATGCACCGAGGCTTCGCAGGGCTCCCTCCGCTCCCACGCTCACTCAGCAGGGGCCTTGCCATCCTCCTGGTGCAGATGGCATGATGGGGACCAGAAGGTACAGTCGCTAGCCAGGTCCGACCCCGGCAGAGGAGTGGGGACTCAGAGAACCCCAGGTGTGCTGCTCTAAGCCTGGTTAGGGTCTGAGCCGGGGGCTAGTGCCCACTCACACTGGGAGCTCGCAGCTGGGCCCACAAGTGGGCACCAGGCCACAGCCGCCCCAGGTCCCCAGAGCATCCTGCACCCCAGCGGCTGTTGACCGTGGTGGCAGAGCCTGCAGAACACCACAGGGGGCAAGAACAAGCTTCAAAGCAGGTCTGCCCCTGGGAGGTGCTGTGTGGAGGCAATGCCTGGGAACAGCCAGGGTAGGGTAGGGGGAGGGGTCTCCTATGCCAGGCGCTAAGTTGGGAGTAGAAGTGAAAGGTGAGGCAGCTGGAGGAGGGCCAAGCTGGCTGCCAGGTTTGGGCAATTTAACCCCAGGCTCTGTGCCAAGGACAGGCCACTGGTGCTGAAAATAACCTCCCAAGGGAGACTCAGCTCTGCGTTTTGCAATCTCCTACCAGGACTGACTTTCAGGTCAGTGTAACTGCTGGGATTTGGCCCCAGGCTGACATGAGCACCCCGAAAGTTACCAGGATCCGGCCTTCCACAAGACTGGGCAGCCCTCAGGAGTGTGGCTCTCAGGGTGAGGCCCGGCCCTCGGCCGCAGCACCTGAAATTCACGGAAAGGAGAGGCCAGGCTGTCCTGGGAGGGGTGCCAGCTTTTCGGAGCCTACGGATGCAGGAAGAAGGTGGAGAGGGACGTCGAGACTTCAGGGAGACAGACAGGTGGGGAGGGGACAGAGTGAGGGGCCTACACCCCAGAATGCTGACCCAGCCAGTTTTTTTCTACATGCAGAGTCCAAGTGCCCGACCAGTGCCCAGTGAAAGGCCTGGCAGGAACCAGAGTTACTAGGGCGAAAAGGCATCTGGTAGGAAGCCCACCTAAGGGCGAGAATGAAGAAGCCCACTTAGGGGCAAAAATGAGGACCTGCTGATACCATCAGAAAACAACTGTTCCTCCTTACCTGCAAGCCCGGTTTCCCTCTTCCCATCCTATAAAAACCAGCCTTCCCCTGACAATAGGCGCTGCTTCACCGACCCCCACCTTGGGTCTGTGAAGTTCGCCTGGGAATGCAATAAAGCCCCCTTTTAAAGTTATTCTGTCATCCTCATCTTTCCCTCCTCATCTTCCCCTGCAGAACAATTCACCCAGCACAAAGTCACAGGCCTGAAACAGGCAATTCATAACCAAACTTTCATCTTCGCAGGGCTGCCTTGGTGCTGCTAGAGGCAGAGTGGAGGGCGAGGGCTAAATGCAGAAAACCACTGTTCCTAAGCCCAGGAGGCCCCTCTGGGCACCCAGCCCTGCCAGAGGCTGGCTAGCTCAGTCCCCGCTCCTGGCACTGCCCAGAAGGGGTGCCACAGCAGCTCTAGGGCCTCTGCAGGGCCCACCACATACATGGGTTTTCCTGGCCCTGTGGACACAGGGCACAACAGAACAAAGTCTGGTCCTTATGGCGCAGTCTTCCCATGGCAGGGCAGGCAGACAGGCAAGGCAAGAAGCGCCTGCAGTCAAGTCACACCTGAGTGCATGGGTACCAGGCTGGCTCTACGGGGAGGGTGGGCGGGGAAGTGGGGAGGCCTCTCCTAGGAAGAGCCTCAAGGCTCAATCCAGAGAACGGGTGAGATGGAGCTAAGAAGGCCCGAGGCTGTAGGAGCTGGCTCTGCACCCCAAAACGCCAGGGTCCCAGGATGCTCAGCTGAGAGACCAGGGGCTAAGGTCACCCATGTGACTCAAGATCATCCCTGATGTCTGAATGACGAGGAACTCTCACTGATGCACATGACGTGAGAGGATCACAAGGACCCAAGGGGGGTATCAGAGATTCCAACAGCTTGGTCATCTCTGCTCTGAGGTCCCTCTAAGCCCTCTCCCCCGGGAACACAGCGACTGGCAGCGAAATGAAACTAATAACTGGGGCTTAGGCATAACCAGCCCTCCCAGACACCTCTGTGCCAGGCCACGGTCGTCAGTGCACAGCTCCCAGCGAGTGCTAGCCCCTGCACTTCTGGACCCTGCCCGTGGGCCCCTCCAGATCATTCTCAGCAGACTGCTCTGGGTGTTCGTGTTTGGGAGAAAGGGTTTTGGAAAGAAAAAAACACACAAATTTTAAACTGGCCTGTCCTGTCTTCCTAGAAAGCAGGGAATGAAATGTTGGGGTGGACTCAAGGGCCGGATGTCCAGTGTCCCCATTCTGCCCCAAACCACCACAGTTTCAGTTCTGTGAAGTCCTGTGTCGTGGGAAAGCTGTCAGCCCTGTCCAAACAGGGACAGTAGGTCATGGACAGCTGGGTGACCACAGCTGCTGCCTGTGTCTGCCCCCGTGATGCAACTGGCCTCTACTTACCTCATGTGGCCCATAGGCGCAGCCAAAGCCTGCCTGACCCCCACCCTAGAAGCTGGGACCAGAAGATGGGACCCCCACTGAGCAAGGACCCACATCAAAAATTCCTAGCCTGTGCTGACCCCCCCCCCAGCCTCCTGGCCCCACCAGCGCCCCGAGCCCCACCGCCACCTGACCCAGGAGCCCCCTCCTCGGCGCCCCGCCCGCCCATCCAGCCCTCTCTGCCCAGCAAGCTGGTGGGCCTGGGCTAGGAGTCTGATTACTACAGGGAAGCGCATCTAATACCACAGATTCCAAGAAAGGGGAACCCCAGATAAATGACAGCCTTGGGGAGCTGAGGCTTGCATCTGGGTTAGACACAGGAGAGCTTACTGGCCAGTGGGGCCCAGAGGCAGGGGCCCGATACAGGGTGATGCGGGGACCACACACCAATGACCAGGGCAGGGGAAACTGAGGTGAGGGTCCCTGGGGCACATCCAGAGGCCACGTCCTGAGTGCTTACAGTGCCTGCGGCTCTAGGTGGTCCCGGAGCCGGAGACGCAGCAAAGACACCAAAGCTAACACCAAAGCTCCACAGCCTGGCCGCATGTGGAGCTGTCCACCAACCAAGGCAGGCAGTGGACACAGTACCGGGGCAGCTCCAGGTAGCTGGCTCATAGAGCCTGGCCTCAGGGGCTGGCAGCATCTTTAAAGTGGAGTGTCAGGGACTAGACCCTAAGGAAAGCCAGTGGCTCCAGCACCAAACACTGGGGCCTAAGCAGCGCTGTCTCCTAGCCCTCCACCCTGGCTCGGGGCTCACAAAGACCAACCGGCACTGGGTTGCATCACTGACCTTTGCCATTCTCTGGCCTGTCTGGCCCCCTCCTCCCCTGCCCTCTCCCTGGGGCTGCTGGCAGCCCTTTGCCCTATGCGGCTCCTCTCCCCAGCCTCCCGCCCGTCCCCATAACCAGAGGTCCACCAGGCACCCCACCGTGAATCCCGCAACTCAGCCGACTGGCCTTGGGCGCCCACCCAGAGAGGCTGTCAACTTGCAGCAGCAGCCCTGCCATTCCACGCCCTCCCCCCATGGCCACCTTCCTGCCCAGGCAGAAGGGGCACACAGGCAGCCCCTGCCTGGAAAGGTGTCCTGTGAGGGCTGCCAGAGCCCAAGCCCTGCCTGGGAGAAGGAAACCGGTTGGGCAGGAAGGGAAGCCCCAGGCTTTGGTCACCCAGGATCACTGTGATCCCCCACCTCCACCCCTGCAGAAATGGCAAGTCTTTACCCAAAAGCCAGACTTTGCAGTTACTGAGAAACCCCAGATGCCCTCCCTGGGGGTCCTCCTCCAGCTGCCGCAACAAGGGAAGCCGTGCCTCCCTCCCCCAACACACGCGCTAATGGAGTCGGTGGCAGGTTCCTCCCTGGGGCTGCGGCCTCCGGGCACCCCGCGGCCCCCCAGGTCCTGCTCACACAGCGCCTGCGTGCAGTGCTCGTGGCCGCTGCCCCTCCTCGCACGCGCCCCTCCCCACCGCTATCTCCCCTCCCCTCCCCTCCCCTCCCCTTCTCTCCTCTCCTCTGGCTTGGGCGCCCCAGCCCAGGCTGCGGGAGGCGGGGCTCCGGGAGAAGATATAAGCTGGCGGGGACTCCGCCGGTTGCCTGCTGCGGAGTCTCCACCTGGAAGAGCCGGGCGGCGGCGGGGAGGAGGCAGAGCAGAGCCCGCGCGGCGCCGACACCTCCGCGCTGACCGCCACTGTGCCGCGCCCGCCCCGCTGTCACCGAGGTGGGTCCCGCGGGAGGTGGGTCCGTGAAGGGCGCCCCAGAGCGCGCGGGGACCGGGGAGGGCGCGGGGACCCCGGAAAGCGGCTCAAGGTCCCGCCCACGCCCCTGCAGGTGCCGCCCGCCCCGCGCAGAGCCCCTTGCAGAGCCCCACGACCAACAGCCATGGAGACAGTGCAAGAGCTGATCCCGCTGGCCAAGGAGCTGGCGACGCAGAAGCCCAACCGCAAGCTGGTGAAGCTGTACGTGCTGGGCAGCGTGCTGGCCTTCGTGGGCGCCCTGCTCGGCCTGGTGGAGACCGTGTGCAGCCCCTTCGCCGCCGCCAGCCGCCAGCGTGAGCGGGAGGCTGCCCTGGCCGCGCTGCGGGACGCCCGCCAGCCTCCGGGCCTGCAGACACAGGCGCTGCTGGAGAAGGGCAAGCCAGAGGCCGTGCCGGCCAGCAGGGCCCCCGTACTCCGGCAGCACGCCTCCTAGGGATGCCGCATAGAGAGGCAGGAGAGAGCAGGAGAGGGGAGACAGCCAGTGGAGAGTGGAGAAGCCGACTTCCAGACTTGACCTGCGGGGATCCACCAGGAGTCTGGATGAGTTTGCTGCTGTGCAGCACCCCAGGGGTCAGCCCGAAGCCCTCCCCTCTGCCCCATGCCCTTCCACCGCACCGGGGTGGCGTGAGGAGACAGCTTTTTATATGATTACTATTACGAAGACCATCATTTTGCATTTTGAAATAAAACAAGTTTTATACTGTGTCTCCTGACCTGATTCCTGGGGCACAGGAGCCAGTGGGTGGCAGCGAGACTGGGCTGGTGGGCATCTGAGCAGAGGGGCCCCAGCTCCCCTGCCAAGTCCTCTACTGGCCACTTGGCCTATTGTCTGCTCACGGCAGTAGGCAGAGACTGGCCTGTAAGTCCTGGTGAACCGGTCTCTGAGCAGTGAACGCAGGACAGCTTGATCCTCAGCCAGGGGTGCCCAGGCCCACCCACCTGCCTCCTGGAGGCCCTGCCGCCATGCTGCTTTCCTCTCAGATGGGGTGGGGGTGGATGGTTGGGGGAAGAAAAGAGGAGTAAGAGAGGGGGAGTAAAGAGAGAGAAAACAGGAGTAAGGAGAAAGAGGGAGGCAGGAGGAAGAGGGAGGTGAGCTTGGCGAAGGCCAGGCCTGGCTCACGCAGCCTTCCTTCTTCCAGTCGGCTGGGCCCAGGGTCCAGAGGACAGTCTGGTTGTCCCACCCCTGAGCTCTGTTCCTCGGGAACCAGCTCACTCCTGGAAATAACTGATTTAGCTTGGCTAGGCTTCAGCACAGGAGGCAGGTCGGGTTCTGGCCTGCGCCAGCCTCCTGGGGGCGGGTAACCGGGCACCCGCGCGGGGGATCTGGCCAAACACGCCATCGGGCCAATGGCTGTGATCACACTCCGGCTCCATGGGTCGTCCCACGCCGCCATTATCTTGCCAGCTCTGATCCCGCCCACATTCCTGCCTCAGCCAAATGCCCCCTCTTGCCACTGCCAATGAAGGGCAGTGGCAGTGGGTGAGGTCAGGGGGCAGGAGGCCCACTCCAGGGAGATGGATGCAGCTGCTCGTCTCCCCTTTCGGAACCAGGAGATTCTGCTCCTTATTTAGACGCAGCCTCATCGACTGTGCCAGCCTCAGGCATGCCGGTCTCCCATCCAAATGCCTTTCCTGTTACGTCCATTTTCCCTGCTGCAACCACCCCTCCAGTGCCCGGCCCCAGCCCCTCCTGCGGACGCCTCCCTTCAGGCCTCTCTTCTCATCCCCTGGGGCACCCTGACAGAGCTCTGGGATCTGCCCCCATCTAGGCCCTGGCCCCTGCCTGCTCAGGCCCTGGCCTCCTTGTTGTTCCCAGTGCCTTCCCACTGGATGGCCCCCTCACCAGCCGGGGCTCTGGAACCATGACCCTCCAGGTCTCCAAGAGGTTTGCCCTCAAATCAGCCGGCAGCCAACCCCATGCTACCGCTTCTTACTTAATCCACAGTGCCTGATTTTTTTTTTTTTTTTTTTGGTATGCCTATACAGTTTTTACACATTTGCCTAAAAATACAGTTGACATCTATACATTACTAATCTAGAAAGTTGTGGTCATGTCTGCACCTGTTCAATCTGCCCAGCCCATCAAGGCCCAGCTTCTGAAATCTGTCCTCCAAAGAGAAGATTTTCCATCTGTTTTTCTTCCTAGTCTCATGCAGAGGAGCCAGGTACTCCGGGTTGCCAGCATGTTTACCTCCTAACTGACCTTCTCATTTCTCCGAACTCTTACAGACCAGTGCTCGGGGCCTGTGCCATGCGATTCAGACAGGGGCACTACAGATGGGGGTGCCCCTCGGGGCAAGCTTCCTGCACCAGAAACCAGGCCTTTTTGAGTTCAGAGAAATGATTGAGCCCCAGGCGCAGGGGAGTGCTTCATAAGTACCTGCTTGCTCAATTAGTCTCCTTATGAAGTCAGGGTGTGGACCTCAGTGGGAAGAGGGGCAATTTGGTCCCCAGGAGAATGCCTGGATCCAGTTCTGGTTGCCCAGCAGGGGAGAGGCCCGAAATGCTCCTCGGCCTTCCCGACTTAGGCTTGGGGTTTTCTCAGCAGCCGGGATGAGTGACAGCAGCCCATGTCCATCCTGTGGCGCTGCGGAGCCTAGAGAGCAGAGTGGGACTCTAAGCACCCCGCTGAGCCAGGCACCGAAGGGAAAACCCTGCCAGTGTCGAGGCCCAAAGGTCTCTATTCCAAAAGCCACCCTGGCAGAGACACCTGCTTAGATTCAGGTGACTGGGCAGACAAATGGGCAGAGAGCAGCTCACCTGCAGGACAGTGGGGAGCCCACTAGAGAGATATCCCATTGCCCACCTGCACCCGAAGGGCAGCCATATCGGCTCAGTCAAGTCCAGTGAAAGAGACTTATTTTGTGTGGCTTGAAACCAGTCTAGTAGGTACCCTAGTTTGCGGGAGGAAGACCTTCCTAGGTCACTGAGAAATCAGAGCAACTCAAACCACAGCAAGTTGCCTTAGGAAGCGTTTTACGAGCCCCTGCCGGAAGGCTTCCAGGCAGACTTTGGAGAAAGCCTTTCTGAACGTGGAAGGAAATTAGCCACACCTCCACCCGAGGTCCTCCTTCTCCTGGACTGAGGTGCTGACAAAGGGGACACTGAGTCACCAGGAGTCACATTCTCCATCTGTTAATTCACTATCCAGCCAAGATTTCACAAGGGCCTACTGCATGCCCAGCGTGTGGCTGGGAGCTGGGGGGTGGGGACCGCAGTGGACAGGCGCTGCATCAGGGCAGGACGGCACACTGGTCTCCGAGATTTGGGGACACCCACTTGGAGGAGGGGTCAGGGCCAGCACCTCTTGGGGGCATCCCCAGACATGCTTCGGAGACCCGTCTTTCTGTTTCCGCCAAGAGGGCCTCAGTCATCTCCACAGCTCTGTCTGCAATGTCCTCAAGCGCCCTTGTCGCCAGCTCCCGGTTCTGAAAGGAGAGACTTTTCCATCTGTTTTTATTCCTAGTTTCATGAAGAGGAGCCAGGCGCTCCGGTTGCCAGCATGTTTACCTCCTAACGCACAGAGGACACCCGGCCTCACGTGGGGTATTGTTCAAATGTCTGTCTTTTTTCTCATGAAATCTCCTGATTTGTATTTGATCCTGCGAAAACAAAAGAAAAAAGAAATGTCTTTTTTGTTTCACTCTTGGGTCTTCTCCAGAATTCTCTTGGGCAGTCTTCTGCAGGCTATTTTGGTTTGTCATCTGTTATCTGTGTCCAGTGCACCTTGAGAAGGAAGGTGGCTGAGGTGAGGCAGGCGGGAATCATCACTCCTATTATGGAGCCCCTAACCCAGGGGACCCCTCCCTCCTTCCTCTCATATGTCTACCTGTGGGATCAGCCCAGAGGTCTGTGGGTCACAAAGATGATTCCAGAAGGAGCTGACCATTGAGAAGTGGGTGCACAGGCAGGCCTGATCCAGCACTTTCCGCAGAGGCAGAGCCAGGGTCAGTGAGCGCTAAGCCAGGGTCAGTGAGCGCCCAGCGTGTTCATAGTTAACAACCGTCGTGCAAGTCCTCAGGGAAACCGGGAACACTACCCCGCACGTGGCCCTGGGCTGCCCCAGGGTCCTGTGTCCTGGGGGCACCCTGATGCCTGCCACCAGGACTGGTCCCCTGGCCTCCCTTTGGGGTGCCCTCTCCCAGCACCTCCTGACTGCAGGAACCCTCCAAGCGCAAAAGCCATCTTGCTTGGCCTGGGTTTCATCTTCTTGTATCAGGTGGCAGGCCAGCTGGTTCCTGCCCTGAATCAGGTCTTCTGGCTCCTCCCAGAAGCCAACCAACTTCTGAGCAGGAAACTGTGCCCCTCCCCAAAGAGTGGGAAACCGCAGAGGAAGAGAGAGATGAAACGGAAGGAAGGCGGAGGAGGAGGGAGCAGGAGGAGAGACGCAAGGACGAAGGACATCAGTGAGGAGACGTCAAGTCGGGGAGAGTCCCCAGCAAGGTAGGGCTTTTTAAAATTACATTCTGCCTAAAAGCACCCCGCTGTGTGCCGGTGCCTAGCGTGGGGTGGGCCTCAGAGGGACACCCCGAAATTGTGCATCTCCGAATAGACCAGAGGGTCAGGCTGAGGAGAGACAGCACCGCCAAGCGTGGTCACAGCCGCCACGGTGCCCGGGCTCTCGACACATGGGAGGGAGTGGGGCGCCACGGGAGGGGGTACCGTCCTGGATAGGCACCAGCCGATCCTTCTGGGACAGAGAGTTACATCAGAACCAGAAAGTTGCAAAAACAGTGTAAAAAATGTCTGCCTCTTGGAATTATTCAAAGATTGCCGGTCGCCAGCAGCTCGGAAAGTGGCTTGAAAGCGATGACAGAGCAAGAACAGGCTGTGCTGAGTGTAGGGCCCCCGCTTGGCTGTGCACCCATCAGCCTCAGCGCACGTGTTCCCCCAGGCCTGGTGCTGGCTCGCTTCTCTCCAGGGTAGCTGGATCAGCCCCTGCGCCCCTCACCTGGGCCTGAACACCCCTACGCTGGGGATGCCTGGCTTGGGGCTCAGGTAGAATCCGAGGCCCCTCTATGAGGTCAGCCTCGCCACTGCCCGGCCCCAGGACCTTCCTCACCCCCCACAGAAGGGCTGCCCAGAAGGCTGGCTTCTAATCGACTCTTAAGAAGGATTAAAATAGTTCCGGCTCCACATAGCATCTGCAGTTTTCATGACAGTTGGCTGTGCAGAGCCAGCGCCCCCGGCTTCTCCAGCAGAACTTAGCACTCCCAGGGACACCCTTGCGGGGCACCCATCTTTTTTTTTAGTGCTGTATTTCTCCCTGGGGCTTGTGTGAGTAAGCTTTGGGGAGGGGGTGGGAGCAGGGAAGAGGTAGGAAGATGCTCACCTCTGCTTGCTGCCAAGATCGGAAAGGATTGCCTTTCCCTCTTGAGGGTGAGACAAAAATAAACCTCCAAATCCTCTTTCTTTACACGCATGTCAGCAGCGCCACCGAGCCCCGCTGCATCTAGTTTCTGAGCTGGAACATATCTTAAAGGTAATGTCCCATAGTTACCAGGGGAAGGGATTGCAGACAAGACAGGGGGCACTGCCCAAGGCCACAGAGAGTTCAGGAGTGCAGAGGACACGTGTGCATCACGGCCCTCTCTGGCACGCAGCCTTGCAAGGCACCACCCAGATGGTGCAAGACAGAGGGCCAGGGCTCGCCGGGTGCTGCTGGTTAAATGAAGCATCGACAGAAAGATGCTCAGGGACCTGCCTGTGGGGACGGCACAGGAAACAAGACCCTGTAGGCGAGAGGGCTGGCAAGAGGGGCGGAGAGGAGAGCAGGGACTTAGGAAGCCCGTCCTGAGGGGACACCCATGTCACAGGCTGCAGATGGGAGCACCCCAGCCTCAAGGCCTCCCCGAGAGGCCCCCGAGAGAGGAAGATACGTAGGTCTGTGGCTCTGCCTGGAGGCCTAGGGCCAAGTTCCAGACACTGTGGATACTCACAATGCAGGGACAGTGCCCCCCATGCATCCCAGGGATCCTGTTGTGGCCAGCTTTGTTGGGGTGCTGTTTCCAGCCCCCTGGCCGTCACATGCCCTCCCCTCTGCAGGAGAACCCCCCATCACTGTGACCCCAGCTTCCCTTCGAGCCTGAGCTCAGCACCACTTCCTCCCTAAGTCTGTTCCGGGCATGGCTGGCGAGAGCCCAGTGGTGCTCCCCAGCACCCTGCAGTGCTCCCCAGTGCCCAGTAGTGCTCCCCAGAATCCCTGTGTCCCATCCCAGGATGTGATCACAGATGATGTGGTATGGCCTCCATGTGCTGCCCCTGCAAACTCACCACCCCTGTGAAGAAGGACATCAGTGTTCCTGCACCCACAGCTCCAGGCCTATAGGAACGCCCCCCCAAATTTGGAAACATGGAGGACTGAACAATTGAAATGCTCCCCCTCCTTTTCTTCCACAAAACAATTTAATGAAAAGTCTTGTTTCCGTGCTCTTGACTCTGGTCTTCGGGGGCAAAGGGGCCGTGGCAAGCCCCATAGCAGGACCGAAGGTGACGCCACAGCCTCCCAGGCAGACGTGGCTGCAGGACAAACACACACTGTCCTGCTTCCTGGCACACACGCTGGTTCTGCAGCCCCGGCGGAACCAGGCAAGGCCCCAGGGACACAGCGGTGGCTTCCAGGCTGAGGGAAAGTGGACGGCCCTGATGAGCAGAGGGGCCAGCGGGAGGCCACCACACCTGCGGAGCTGGAGAGCCAGAGGGGCACCCAGGAGGGAAGCCCCAGGCACATCCCTCCCCTTCTAACAGAAGAAGGGATGCTCATTTTCTGGAGAAACTGCCTGAGGAAGCTGGAAGCTTAGCCAAGAGAGAAACGCCACCCCCCACCCCCGCCCCGCACCCCTCCTCGACTCTGTGCCCCGGGGTGGCTTACACTGCTCCTCTCAGCCTGCCCAGCCTAAGGGTACCTGGCCAAGGGAAAAGACACTGACAGCTGGGCCCCGACAAGACGGTGAAGAGCCAGCCCGACATTACCCACACACGTCCAGCGGCCGGGGGGGGCCAGACCTGGGGCGAGGCCTGAGCAGGGAAGATGGAAGCCTGGCAGAGGGGCCGAGACACTAGAGGGATCCACAAAGAACCTCCTCGAAGCATGTCCCCCACACCACCCCGGAGCCAGGGGCCATGTGAACAAGTGCCGGGAAACCCCTGTCTAGAAAAGGGGGCTGGAGAGCTGCAACAAAGCACTTTAAGCCAAACTGGACCTCTAGAGAGTGGAGCGATACGCTGAGAAACCCTGACGGCATTCCAGAGGCACCGGTGAGGCCTGTCCAGACCAGCCTAGGGTGGTGGCACAGGCTCTTCAAGATGGGAACAGAGAACGGGAAGACATGGACCAAACAAAAAAGGCCCCAGAATGAAAGATTTGAATGCCCACGTGGAAAGGGCGGCTTGCCTGATGCCACAGTAAGAAAGTCCCCCCTAGTCCATCATTGGGAGTAGAAGCCCAGGACTACACGGGCCCAAAGTTCTAGAGAGAGACAGTTCACAGCCCACAGGTTGGGGGTGCAGGCTCCTGGCCAGCGGGCAGCGTCCTCAGCCCAGAGAAGGGGATCCTCAAGCGGAACCGTTCCCAGCCAGGGGACTGGGGGAGAGAGGCACGGGGGTTTAGGTCCCCGCCTCTCCCGCTGCCCCAGGCCTAGCAGCAGATGCTAAATGCAGACCTGCCCTCCACCACCCACACCCTGTTCACCAGGAAGGCAGGCAGGACAGAGAGCAGCAGGCACTCCCAGCAGCCAAGTGCACGTGCGGGCACTAGAGTCAGGGTCCTCAGCCACCGTCCGAGGTGGGCCCAGGAGGAGGCCAGAGCCTGGCAGGTGCCGCCACTGAGCAATGGGGTCCCTCCGAACCCTGAGAATGGATGTGGTGACACCCCCGGAGCTGAGGGTCCGAACTGCAGGCAGGCATAGCAATGTGTTTGCAGAAGAGCAGCATTCAAGCATCCCACGTAGGAACTCGATTCTAAAAGGGCAGAATCCAGAAAGAGCCATTAAAAGCGTGTTGTTCAAAAATGTGGAGCTGATTCTCAGAAGAGAAAAAAATGGGACTTTAGAGAAGAGTTGCCCCACGGGATGGGACACGAGGGCAGCTGCGCCCTTCAAACCCGAGGCCCATGTGACCCCAAACCCTCCTCCCATCTGGGACTCGTAACCATTAGACTTCTTTTTAAGAAACAAAACAGAAAAGGCCTTAGTCCTCAAGGCGGGTGTCTACCAGGGACGCTGTCCTCCCCGTGCCCACCGGAGTACCCCCCCCCCAACCCCCGCACCGGTCGCTAGGTCCCCTGGACTCTCACAGGCTTCAGAATCACCTGGAGCCTTGTGAGTGCTGTCCTGGGTCCCACCCTCACTGGCTCTGACTCCACAGGCCCTGGGACCAGGAACCTGCCCTGGGCCAAGGCCATTTGGTTCTGGGGCTGGCACAGTTGGGGACCTCAGCGAGAGCACATGTGGGTGTGTCTCGGTGGGTGTGGTGTGACTGTTTGCACGTAGATGTCAGTGTGTCTGCGTCCCTCTCTGAGCATGGGGATGCCCCTGACTGTTGGAAGCCAGCTCCAAGGACCCCTGGGCCTCCAGGCCTTCCAGCCCTGCCTGAGCCTCGCTCCTGGCCCAGGAGCGCCCTCTGCGGGCAGAAGTCAGCTATAGCCCTTGGCCTTGGCCTGGGCGTGACCCTTCCTTCCCTTCTGCACATTCCTGGGTCTCCCTGCCCTCCAGCTCCCAACCAAGCCCTCCAGCTCCCAACCACGCCCCACAGCCCAACCCTCAGCTCCGCAGGCTCTTCCCACAGCAGAAGTCATGCACGGCCCAGCTCAGCGTCCACACTTTGAGAAAATGCCTAAGATCCAGGGTGAAGGTGCTGGGGCTCCCAGGGCCTGTTCTCCGCTTCCTGCCGGCCCCCACTCTGCGGCCTCCCCCACCCCTTCACCCTTCCTGCCACACCAAGCCTCTGAGACCTCCATGTGGGCTTCAGAACAGAGGCTGCTTCTCCTTGAGACCCAGCCGCCGGCCGCTGGCCTCCCCAGGCCGCTTCTCCTGTCCCTCCTTTGAGGCTGCTCTCACGGTGGCCCCGGGATGCTGGAGCAATGTTGCCCTCATTTAGAAAGACACAGCGGCCCAACCGGGAGCTGCTCGTGCCAAATTGGGCCTGCTGTCCACCCAGGGGCCGGCATGTCTGGAGGGCCATCCACCCTCAACGGAGCCACTAGGCCTCCCAAGGCCCTGCCCAGGCCTGAAGGAGGGCGACCTGGCACGCCCTTCTGCTCTCAGCTGGAAACATCTCTGTCCCCCACCTGCCAAAGCTTCATTTTGTTGGTTTTTTCAGGGCTCCTTTCTGTCTGCCACATGGGCCCTGACCAGGAGACCAGCCATGCCCTCCAGGCCTAGCGGAGTGGGAAGACAGGCAGGGCACCCGGGTAGGAGGGGCACCCCATGCTTGGGGAGCCTTGG